ATTTTTAATGTTTCATTTAAAATTTTAAAAAATTAGAAAAATTTATTTCCATACTTTATTCAAAATTATTAAGAATCTCATTTTTTTTAAATTAAAAAATTTTGAAAATTAAAAATCAAATGGTTGTTACCATCAGTTTTTGAGAATCGGCACCCAAAAATAAATTCTAAAATTTCAATTTTTTCTATATTTTTTGCTAATTTATTAATATTACATTTTCAAAAATTTTAAGCCACAAAAGTTTCTCGCTTTACTAAATTTAAAAATTTGTGACATAAAATAATTATTTTAATTATTTTAATAAAAATGCTTGGCCATAAAGTGATACAGTAGAGTACATTAAGCTATACATGTACATGTACACACACTGTATGAGATATACAGCACCTGCGGTTACTTTGATCCACCCACTCAAAAGGATATACATGTACAATCACTATTGGAGTATAATTAATGATTATACTTACATTATCAGAGGCAGTGACATCTGCTCCTTTTTCAAGGAGCATTGTCACTACCTGTGTGTAACCATATTTAGCTGCTATTATGAGAGGAGTCCATCTATCCTATAAAAAGAAGACAGGATAATAAAGACACTAACACTACACAGTCAAGTGTCATATCATGTTGTGTACTGTAGTAGTCTAATATAATAATAATGTTAATACTCATTATAATGTGTTATACACAAAATGAACATTTATTAATTTTTACACAGAAACACAAAAGTTTCAGTCACACTAGAGGTCAGGTCATCAAAGCATGCATGTAGAGAAGTATGGGCCACTCACAAAAGGATTATATTCATGAAATTCTGTCTTCTCTCTCATTTGAGGAAGTTTTTAGTTTTTAAAATAACCCTGTGACATTCTTTATATGACTGCTTCTTAATGGCTTTTAATTATTAATAAAAACTAGGGCAATTAATTTAAACACAGTGAATTTAATATTTTCACAAAATCATAAAGAGAGAGAGAGAGAGAGGGGGGGAGGGAGGAAGGGAGGGATAAAGGGAGGGTGGGA